GAAAAAAAAACAAAAAAACACGAGCGACGTCATCAGAAGCAGGGTGGGCGGAGTTAATGCATACGCACGGTGGTAATGGATACCTTCATGAGTGATGTGAGAGCACAGAGATGATAGCAAATAAGTAAAGCTAACGTCAGCAGCCATGGCACTGGACGAGCAATCGTTATTATAATCCAAATGGGCAAACAGTCTAGATTATTATGCAAATTGACTCGAGATACAAAAACGGCAAAAGTCGCATTTGTCATCCGTCACCGTGACCGCAAATGGACTTTTGAAACTGGAATAATGAGTGGATTACGCATTTCAATTGGCAAGAGAGGAATAGCGGTGATGGATGGAACTTTCTTGGCAAGGAGGATTGTGTGCATCACAGTCAGGTACAAGGGAGAAGGCTTCTTACATTAGGTAAGACAAAAAGTTTAATTTTCGCAACTTGTTTATCGACTTGTTAATAGCAATTTGCTGTGGAATGTGCCGATCGGGTCCGTGTTTTCCCGGCCGGGTTCGGGTCCATCTTTCAAATAATTGACGGTCCGCGTCGGTTCCGGGTAGTACATTTTTGACATTTCTCGGTTCTGCACGGGCCCGGGTCCAACTTTCAAAATAGACGGGTCGGTTCAGTGTAGCACATTTACAGGTCTCTTCGGGTATGAATTTTTGGACCCGTGAAGACCTCTAATCTAAACTATGAAACATGCTGTCGCCATTCAGAATAAATAGCTGCATTTTTGTACAGCAATAGATCATGACAAACTATTGTCAACACCCTTAATAAAAACTTAAAACATCCTTCTAAAAAAAGTTGTGTTTTCCACAAAAGAAATAAAATCATACAGATATGGAATTACATGGTTTGACATGAAACTAGACTCACCTGAGAGTGAGGAGCTGGTGTGCTGGGTACGGCATTGACGACATACCTCTCCGTCATCCAACTACTGTCTCTTTGATGCCTCTTGAGTTTCATCCTACGGTTTTGAAACCACGTTTTCACCTTCAGAAAGAAATAAAGTTGATAATTATGATGACAATCTACTAAAACTTCAACCATTTCAACATTCTCTTTATAAATCACAAACCTGTTTGTAAGTTAGACCCGTTGCTCCAGCAAGCGTCTTCATCTCTGCGGGCGTGAGGTATCTCTGGATATTGAACCGGTGGATCAGAGCATTCATCTGCTCCTCAGAAAAGGCGGCCCGGGTCTTGCGGGTCTGGGTTGGAGGTCGGGCTGGAGATGTGGTCAA